TAGGTACTAATTTATTAATTTAATACATATATGTATATTAACATTTGTCAGTTTATATTAAATCTATACGATTGTATAAATATAGTCATTTTTGTAAATATAAAAATGTCGATACTTCGCATAGCATATTATATTTTTTTATTATTAATATAATATTATATTAGGTACCTATTATATTTGTTACATTTTTTTATTTTATTTTAATGAGTCAGTTGATATAAATGATTTACGCAAAGTTTGATTCACCAAAAGAAATGACGACTAACGCCGTGTTGGAAACAATTTGGAATTTGAAAAAATAGATGTGTTAAGTACAAAACGTGTTTAACTCGCAATCTAAAGAAGTGATTCCGTTTGAATGAATTATTTTTTACACAGAAAAGTTTGATCTATATACTGTAGTTTTTTTTAAGATAAAAAATAATCTACGCTTAATACCTACTATCAATTTATTTTAAATTACTGTTTAACATTTTATTAAAAATGTAATTTATATTGCAGATAAAACATCATCTGATATTTTAATTTATTAAACTAGCGCATTCCAATTTTATTAAAAGAGAGAATCATTGGATTTACAATAACTATTTCATTTTAATAAGTTAAATATTAATTCTAATTTAAGCTTATCAACATAACACTTTCATCGTAAGGTTAAATTAGGTAAAGTATTTATTGTAAGGTACACATATTATATGTTATTTCTGCAGATGAAATTCTAGCATTATTTTTCGGAGAATGCGCATCACCTAAAAAATTATTTAATTAGTTGATAGGATTTTACCGATTAAAAGAAAAGTACAGGGAAATTACTTTTGACACCATAAAGTATCAACTATAGATACGATGTGCTACCAGAGCCTAATCTTAAAATTTAAAATTGAAGTATTTTTGCTATCCCAAAAGTCAATGACAATAAAAAAAAACCCACATCATTGTGAAATCAATAGAATATTGCTCTGCTTAGAATTCAAGATTCAAAATATTAATAAATTTATACTATATCTAAAAAAAATTTGTATAGTTTCAAATCTCTAAAAAATAAGACAAAAACGTTTAGTCAATAATTAGTATATTTGTTTACCAGCAGTTTTTCCCTATCAGTAAAAAATAGGCCTACTAGAAATTTCCTACTTTTGACTTAAAGTAGGGACTGAGGTTTAGATTTGATTCACTAATATCTAATCGCAAAATTTAATTGTTTTATATAATAATGAATATTGCAATTTTAACGCAAAGAAAAAGGTTTTTTAGATAAAATAAAAACACATAACCAGGTCTCAAAAATTGTAGCAAATGCATATTTTTCTTGGTTCGTCCTAGAGTATCCAAATTAAGATATAAATATGTTTCATACTTCTTCGATGTCATACACGAAATTTTATTTTGTTATTTTTTGTATATTTACGGTTATTACCGCTATTTTTCTAACTTGAATTTTTAAGTGCTATTTTTAGATATATTTTCACATAACATATGAAATGTTTGGATTTTGTTGAAAATAATGATTTACTTCGATATAGGTATCTTTAAAAATATTTGAATTATTGAAAATAAACAGGTCTCATCGAATAATATTTTATATTTTCGCTGGTCTACTACCTTTTTTACTTTTTTTTTCCAGTAAGAATTTTACTTTTTAATTGTAAATTATAAAACTGTAAAATTTAATTTAATTTTTTTTCTAATAAATTTATATTTTTTTCAAGTTAAATACATATTTTGGAGTTTTTAAGTACATATTAAAGAGCTAAAAAATAATATTTTTAGTGCTACAACTTTCGAGTCCAACACATAACATTCTAAATCCAATACATTGTTAGCTCAATTCAGAATTATTGTAAATTTAAACTATGTTTAATTAAAATGTATAGATAAAATGTACCACTAATAAAACTTGTCAATCTATTTTAACACTTATAAGTTTTTTGATTTTCGTGAAGGTACCTAATATGGTTTAACTACATTATCATTTTTACAATGAATAAAATAGCATTATTATATATTTGTGAACAATAACGTAAAATGTTATTAATCTAAATGCATTAAAGTTTTGAAGTTTTATACTAATCAAAAGTGATGGAAAAAAAGTATAGTAATCACTAGTGGTAGAATTGTTATGATTTTACGTATTTGTTTCTAGTGTATGCAGTTAAATGGGAGTAAGATATCTTTGCGATTCATAAAACACAGAATTCATAGAAAAAATTTATTTTGCACAAAAAACTATATTTTAGGGGTTAGACAATATTTAACACGTTAGAGAATATTTGAGAATATTTAACATGTTATAAAATATACGAGAATATTTCATGTATTTTGATAAATACAATATTCACTACACGATTTATTTCTGGGTTCTAAGTTTTAAATTATAATATAAATTAATCTTCAGATATTCCATATCGATGGCGATAGCACACCGGTTATTTCGTTAACTGTCACAAATATTCATTCGTTCGTACCGGTGTGAGTTGATATTACATAATATAACTAACTAATTAATTAATTAATAATACAAGTTAATAAATAGTACCTATAATAAATAATAAATTTCAACTAAAATATGCATATTTTTTTATTTTTTTTTTTTTATTAATATTGAAAGAATACTTTCATTTTTAAGGACATAAAACATCATATATCTTATATTTTAAAAGAATATTAAGAGAATATATTGCCCGTTTTAAACGATATAAAAACATCATATTTTAAGGATTTTAAGAGAATACAAATCAGACCTCTAGAGATCACTAAAAATATATTTGAATTTTAAACTAAAAAAAAATAAAATTAAGAATTAATAGTGTATTCATATAAACTTATAACTATTTTTTATAAGAAAATCTATATACATATATGACTTGTCCTGAGTGATTCATCATTGCCTAGCTGGGACCGCAGAAGCTATGAGTATGAAATTTGGAGAGTAGTTTTTTGTGATGTAGACACCTACTAAGAAAGGATTTTTCAAAATTCAATCGCTACAGGAGTTAAAAGGGATAAAAACGAAAAAAATTGAATAACACAAAAAATTGCAGAACCCGGGTTATTCAGCTAGTATTTTATATTTTATGTCTCATTGATACGTTTTTTCTTATGAAATATTTGAAATTCATTATATCATACATACCTATTACATTCTAAAACTAAGTCATATTTTTATGCCAAACAAGCTAAACGGATTATTATTTACTATTACAAATTTTAAAAAAATAAGGGGCTTTGTATAGGCAATTTTTATAATTTTAAGTGCAATTTAATAATTATATTTTATACACTTATTTTAAAATCAAAATACAAATGTACAATTTGTTCAATGTGTCGTTACGATTGTATTTAACTAATTATAATTTGTTCATAAATATTCTTTCGTACAATTTTAATGGTTTCAAATTCGAATGAAATTATGTACGCAAATTCCATGTAATATTGTAATATATGTAATAACTAGACTTTGCACTTTTGTAATAGTATGAATTAATATGGTTTTTGGTGTAGGTAATAGGTATAATTATTAAATAAACAGATAAATTATATTTTAGCATATGATTTAGAACTATGTAGTTTGAATTATTAAAACTGTAAAATAGCTTATTTATAATGTATTGCTATAATTTTTTATTATTAATTTGTATGTATTAGAATATTGAAACAATAAATAATTAAGTATAGATTGTTCAATACAATTTTTCGATGTCTTGGCACAATTACTTTTCTGAGCTATTATTGTCTATATATTTATTTTAAATGAACTTCGAAGATATTTTTATCTTAAATAATTTGTTTACCCTTGAAGAATACTTTAGTGAGAATAATACATTTTTATTCTAAAATAATACACGCTGCATTAAATGTTAAGTGTTTGTTCTACAAGTAACTATTTTTTGTTGATTAAAATTTAAAAAAATACCGCGTTTATCTCGATAATATAAGAAAATCAAATGTTGTTATTTACTATTAATGGTGTATTTTTGATAAACGAATAATAATAATAAATTTTGTACCTATCAATATTATAGTAAATAGTAATTATCATAGTATATACTTAATTACCAATTACTATAGTTTCTCAATTAGTCATTCCACCGAAATTGAAAACGAATCAATCAAAATTTAAGTTTACAATTTAGATTAAATAATTTTTATAATAGGTATATAAATTTTGATTAAAAAAAAACAGTAAAAATGTAAGAGGAGGGGCAATCACTTATTTGGATCAAAAATTTGTAACACATAATAATATGTACTATAAATACCTAATCATTATTAAAGTTTCTTGATTTAGGTACAACTAAGATATTATTATCATTATATTTATATTTTATAGGTACATCAATAAAATTATTAGTTGTAAATGTGTAAATGTTACCTGTTCGCGTTCTGTAGAGGAAATTGCGCCAAACATATGATAATAGGCAATGCTATTCAAATGGAGTTAAGAAAATACACAGTTGCAATCACAAACGATAATATAAAATTTTAATAATAAAAATAGACAACGGCGAAATTTTCCACATCTAATAGATCACAAGACGTATAATAATAATTTTCAGTTATTTACAATTCTGAATTCACCAAGATGATAACAGGAGAGGCGGATCAGTTGGTGATTATCGTGGCTAAATACCATGATCATAACTATAAACTTTCTCTAAAATGCTGACCAATTGGGACTTATGATTAAGGCAAGAACATTTGCATTTGATATTTCGAAAGCACATTTAGTAAAATTGTGAAATATTGGTCTGTGCGATTCCAACTCTAATTTATTTGGAACACGTCATTAATTGATTAATCATGATTATCAGTTATTGCCGACTGTCGAAACAAAAAACAGTGTTTTGGCTGACTCTAACTACAGGTACGTGATAACGATTGATAATATAGCTATACATCATTTTTAATATATTTTTGTTTTGTGTTATCATCAAATAAATAGTTGTATGGTTAAGTTTATATTAGGTGAGTGAAGTTACCACCAGCTTGTTATTACAAGTTGAAGCCTACTGTTGAACCAAAAACTTACCTATCGGTTGACGAACCGCAATCCGCGAATCGACGATGACAACATCAGTTATGGGGGCGGCCCTCGAATAAGAGTAACATGGACAATGGGTACAATGAACAATGATTACGATGACAATAGTGTCATGGAGGAAACAGTGATTAGCTGACGACAACACCAATAATTGTAGTACCAGTACTACGGAGAGGGTCTTTATAGTAATTTGGTTTTATTCAGCGTAGTTTAATGATAAAATTCTGTATAGTAAGTTGTTCACATATTCTATGCATTGATTGCATTGTGTGTTCCGGACCACGATTGATAAGAGGGCTCCGTGACGTAATCGCAGCAGCAGGCTCGACGATAGTCCGCTATGCGTATCAGCGAAATTCCTAGTCCACGGCGTGATGATGATGATGTCACAATTCACGATTTTTTTTTGATATTATTATTTTGAAATGTTTTTCTCGAGAGCGTCGTCCTAGTACGGTACTGCGGTGTAAAGCTGTTGTTACTATTGCAGTTGTCGTAGTTGTAGCTAGGTACGTGCGTACTGCGTTAGTAGTAACGGGGCGAAAACATATATTTTGTGCGCCACTAACCGCCGCTAATTCTCCTTCAACGCTTTTTCGTTAACTTGGTCCCGTTTATATTTTTTCACCGTCACACCTCAGTCTTGTTTCTATTCTCGTTCTACCTGATGTGCTTGCAATGAACGGGATGACGTTCAGCGAGTTGATGTACCTGTTTTGCTGCCCACCCCTGCCATCCCGCATCGCCGCCAAACTTGCGTTCCTTCCACCGCCAATCACCTACGACTTCACGCCGGTCGACAGCGGCGAGACCAAATATCATATCAAGTTCAACGATAAGGCTGAGTGGCAGTACACTGACAGTGACGTGCAGAACATTGAAGGATTCTATGCTCGCACGTCCCGTGGCAATCGCATAGCTTGCATATTCGTACGATGCTGCCCTAATGCCCGGTACACCATACTGTTTTCTCACGGAAACGCTGTCGACTTAGGTCAGATGAGCAGTTTCTACTTAGGACTAGGCATGAGAATCAACTGCAACATATTTAGCTACGATTATTCCGGCTACGGCATCAGCAAAGGTAAGCCGAGCGAGAGAGATCTGTATGCTGATATTGATGCTGCTTGGCAAACATTAAGAACTACCTATGGTATTAGCCCCGAGAACATAATACTGTATGGTCAAAGTATTGGTACTGTACCCACTGTCGATTTAGCGTCTAGATATGAAGTGGGAGCTGTAGTCCTTCATTCACCATTGACATCCGGCATAAAAGTAGCATTTCCTAGATCTAAAAGGAAATGGTTTTTTGATGTGTTTACCAGGTAACTTACCTATTTATGTTTTAGTGTTTTGAATTACCTAAATAACATTTATTCAAGTTATGTTTATATCATTGATTCGTGTAATTTATTTTGTCTCGGTGTCTTTATCGCATTTAAATTCAGCTTAAATAGCTATGTAAAAATTATATTTGTAAAGCCAATTGTGGCACTATTGTATAATCATTATCCTTTGATGCGTTGTACTATTCAGTGCATGGAGGATTTCTAAGGTATGACTTGTTACGTAATAATAGGTATAAATCTATAAACATACCCTTTGTTAATATAAATAGTGTTAATTAATATAGATACATATATACATTTTATATTAGCCACACCCTATTTTATAACTATATGTACTGGTGTGTGCCTATCTATATTTTATTCTCCGGTTGTATAATGAAAGGTTATAATTTATATAATATGAATTTGTGTGAACAAGTGGATTATGTAGACAACAATTGGTTGGCTTGTTTACGTACTTAATGGAGTAGTTGGTAGTGAATCTATACTGTTATATTTTAGTAATTTTTTCGTGTCTTAAATATTATTATTAATTAAATAATTTTTCCCATTTTTTTATTTTATTTATATGATAGGTATGTATAAATACAATAAGAGAACTTAAATAAATTTAAATCTAAGTAAATTAAATTATACAACAGTTAATCTTTTCAAAGTAAAAAAATATAATTAGATATTGAGATATGGTAAAAACTTTTCTTTAAACATTGTCTATTTTCAGCGATTGGTTTACAAGATAAAATTTTTACTACCTAGCAATCACCCATTAACCTTAGTTACCTTCAATATATTAATAATTGTAAAAAAAAAAAACCATTAGTTTTATTCAAGTACTATTATTCCTATAAGGTAATGCCTAATTTTTATTAAGGTTTGCTTTTGAAATATAAAATACATCTATATAAGTAATTAAAAAAATCTTCTATTATGACACAAATACTAAATAAGAATATTGTTTAGTTCATTTTTATTTAGATACTTATCTTTTGTATATATGAAGTTTTATTTAACCTAATAATGTACCTATTTATATGTACTTTATTAAATATGATGATTTATACCATAATTCTCTAAAATATGTAGACTGTAAATGGTAATTTATTGTATTTACTAGGTTATATAGATAGTATTTTATTTTTAAGAAGATACAGAATAATAAAATATTATTTTATTGACTTATTATATTTGTCTGTCTTTTACAAAACACATAACAATTATTAACTAGATTTTTTAATTTATAGACCTATGAACAAATTTAAATGAGGAAATCAATCATGTAATATGTATATTGTATAGAATATCTAGCATTTTTAAATATTATAGTAGGTACTAAAGTAAAATAATAAGCACATAAGTCAATTTATTTGAAGTACAATTTTATTTAAAACATTTATTCCTAATTAAAAAAAAAATACAACAACAACTTCATTGAGTATTAAAAATAGTATTAGGATTTTAAAGTTGATAGATGATAAGTAAATTAACTCTTTATAATTTAGTTTTGAGCATACACTTGATTCTTTAATAAATAAATCTGTTATGATGTCCTATTCTCACTGTGTTTTAAATACATAAAATTACCTATATAGTATATTATATCAATTAATTTATGTCATTTTTCAGCATTGATAAGGTATCAGAAGTTAACTCCCCAGTGCTCGTCATACATGGAACACATGACGAAGTAATTGATTTTTCACATGGTGTTGCTATTTATGAAAAATGTCCTAAAGCAGTTCCACCACTATGGGTTGAGGTAAATATATTTTTTTGATACTTAGCAGTAGGTTAAAATTAAAATTTTACTTCATCATCAAATTATTAATGAATTTTAATTTTCATTGTGTAAAGTCTTACAATTAAATTATATGATATTATATTTATTTTATCCTAGGGTGCTGGACACAATGATGTAGAATTGCATAATGTTTATTTGGAAAGACTTAAACAATTTGTTACAACTGAACTGCTCAACTGACATTTAATTGAAAAAAAAGATGCAGATACATCGAATGGACAATCGCCCAATCTGGTAACTAATGGCTCAGCGACTGAGAAATTACTTTGGTAATTTTTTATTATTATATCTAATATTACATATTAGTGTATAACTTGTATAATATTTATTATATTAAATATTAATCATTCATACTATTTTATCATCCATTATAATTCATGTACAATATTTTTATTTTTTTTTTTTTTTGTTAATCATTTGCTTAATCGTTATTTTTAAGTCATGACTATATAACACTATTCCTAAACAAAAATTTTGAAGTTTAAACAATATATTTAATATTAATATATTATATGACTTGTGTATTATAATAATTAAAATAATGTATCAGTGTTTTTTATCAAATTATTAAATTATTGTATGTTTATTATTATTATTATTATTTATTATAGGTTATATTTGATTAGGTTTATAAATTATATTATAGATTTATCGTTTGTACCTATGATATTTATATTATTATTATTATTATAATTATTATTTTAATACAGTAGAGCACCTATTAACCGAATTAATAATTCTTAATTATATATGAAATGGGAAATGTGAATTTTAATTCTTTTTTTCTCGAGAAAATTTAAAAAATACATTTTTCATGTAAAAATATTGGATTAACAACCAATCCAAGTTTAGCCAAAATTGGTACTCTGCTGTGGATTTTATTTATGGTTTACTAGTATTGTTTTAATGATGAATAATAATTTTTACTAGTAAAACACTAAACATGACTTTTAAGTAAAATATTTAAAAAAATGTTTATTATATTATTATTACTAGTATTTCTTTTTTAAATTATTATTTTTATTATATATTAAGTTGAACAAAACAAATATTTTTTACACGCACATTGTTTTGTATGATATATTTTGAATTCAAACATGTTTTAAAAATTTATTACAATATTGATAAAAAAAATAACAAATACTTTCAATGTTTTTGTGGCCTTATAATATATTTCATGTACCCTCTTCAATGTAATTTTATGAAATTAAAACACTATTTCTCATATAATTTATTAATTGTAAATAATTAAAAACAAATGATCTTAATATAATAATACATGTACAGATGAGCTGGTGTTTGGTGACTATTATTTTATAAGTTACAGAATAAATAAAAACATTTTTGTTCGGAAAAAAAAATTATACTTGTATATAACTTGATGCGGTCTATTCAGCGATGAGTGTATTAGACTAATTAATTATGTGATGAGTAGATAAAGGTTGTTGAAATAAAAACACTAATGATGATAATATTGATATGATGTTATATTCAGCATTAGCAATATTAAATGGCTGGTATTGCTGCATGATTCATAGTAGTAATAATACCACAGAATATTAATAAAGAAAAAGATACTAATAATTAACCGACCACTCTAGACAGCTGGGCCTGATAGTTCATAAAAAATGACAAGTATAAAAACAAATAATGGATTACGAAATTATGGAGAGTGTGTATCATGTTATAAACATTTGATACTTGAAAGAGAGCCTACTCACCCTGTTGTTGTGTTGTATTGGTTATCATACATTCTCTTGAGCTTTCGACTAATAGTTGAGATAAAGCAGGCCACAATATAATGTAACATGGATCCGCATCAAAGTTAAATCAAGTGGATGCTATCCTCGCATGTGTTGTCTCTGTCTTACAAACATAACATGACAAATTAATGTTCTCTAGAATTGATTGTATGTTGTTAACTTTATTATAGAGTGACCTAAGGTAAAAACATTATCTTTACTTAGACGTTGGAGATTTTTTGATGTTTTAATTTTTTAGTAGATAGGAGTGTTGTAAACATTACAAGTTAAAAATCCTCTTGTATCTAACTTTAAAATCAAAGTATTAAAAAGAAAACAATTCAACACAGATATTTTAAATTTTAATTTTGATAATCAGTTAATTCACTCTATTATTAAAGTTAACAATACACAATTTTATTAATTGTACACAACTTTTCTTTGGTCTATTAATAATACAATTTAACAAGGCTAAGCATTAACGAGTTAATAAGTTAAAAGTTAATTTTAATTTATTAACCAAATTACCAGTTCGCTGTTTTAATTAACTTAACTTTAATTTAACTCATTTGTGTCTATGTTAACTTAAAATCAACTTAAATTTTTTTAATATTCCCAATTAAGTTAATTTTGAATTTTTGTATTATCCAAAATATATTTTAGTTTATAACGGTTCATAGATTTAAAATTCGTAAAATATTATAAAATAAAAGATATTTTCGTATTTATTTTTACAAATAACTATCATGTTATATTAATTAAATACAAATAAAATAATAAATAATAATTTAGAGATAACATTGTAACAATATATATGACAATTAGTCGCTCGTATGACCATAAATATAAGTTATCAATAGCTACGAGCTCATGAAGTCACATTTAATTATACATTTATACATTCATAGTTCATACTATTGTTTTAATTTCTCACTAGTTCACTCAGTCACTTAGACTGCTGCAGTTTATTAGTAATTACTTATTGAACATTAACATGAATAATAATTATTATTTAAATAAGTAATATTTTTATTTAATCTAAGTAATTGTATTCATACAGTATTGTAGTAATTAACATTTTTTTTTTTAAATTTTTAAAACATATTTTTTTCAGTTTTAGGTGCAAATTCAGAACACCAAGAAGTAAACAACTCTAATGATCTACCAAAATGGACAACAATGGTTACTAATTTTAAGGTGCTAAAATCAAGTGATTTAAATGCATTTTGTGTTGTCCAAAAGAAAAACACATTTCTACCTTTAAATTATCAAAATCATATAATTTCACTTTTTTAAAATCTTTCAATGCTTTTTTTTTGTTAACTTATTAATTGAAGTTAAGTTAACAAATTTTATTAATTTAACTTTTAACTTAATTGATGTATTAAAAAATCTATTAACTTAACTTTCAATTTAATTGAACAAAAAATATTTAACTTAACTAAGTTAAAAAAAATCATTAACTTGCCCAGCCTTGCAATTTAAGTACTGGTATGTATTTTAAACTCTAAACTATTAAATTAAGTAAATATTTTGTATTTTTTTTACCTTTTAAATACATTTTTTAAGTATTTAGTATATTTTATTTAAAATGCATTCAGTCGTTATTATTAGCCTGTCATGAGGTTATGGGATGTTATAATGAAGTAGTCACATGTGTGAAAGGATTTATACAATACTAAGGTTCATTAGATATCTATAAATTACATCATGGTTGCATTAAATGTTAAAAACTTTTATCTTATTTAATTTGTTTGAAAAATGTATAGATGTCAGCAGTGTTGGTTTGATTGAGGGCTTCTTCTGGCGATGTTAGATTGTTGAGAAGATGAAACGATGAAGATAATTTAGGGCAGTGTATGATGATGTGTGCGATTGTGATAGGAGTTTCACATATGTCATAGAATGATTAAGGTTTCTTGGTGATAAGATACAATAGTAGGTGAGATGTGTGTCACCTAGGTATTCTGGCTCTATTTATAATTATTTATTTTCTCCTGGTTGAGTTGTCTAGATGAATCCATTTGGATGTTGTCTTTTTAATGTTTGTCAACTTATTATCAGGTGAGGTGGTAGTCCTATTGGTTTTGCCATGTTTTCAAGATCTGTTTATGAGCTTCATTTATTTATAGTCTTTAGTTGATATTTTATTTACAATTTTTAAATAATTGATAGTCCTAAAATACGTGTATTGTTTGAAAAGAGAAGTATTTCGTTGTTTAATGTAATATGGGGGTTGGAGGAGTTTTTTTTATTGATTAAGATGCATTGTGTCTTAGACGGCAAAAAATAAAGTCTGTTTTTAAGGACCATTGAGTTGTAGTATGTCTAGTGACTTGTACTTATTTTTACATCATATTATGATTTGATGATACGCTGAAAAAATCAATTCACAGCAGTGATGTAGTGAAATGGCCTAACAATAACGCCGTGTATTCATAATTTTTAGGTTTAAATTTTTCGTTTAGAGTACAAAACTTTTTATTTAATATGCATTGATTAAATTTTCTTTTTATAGACCAAAAAATTGTGGTTAGAGAATTTGGAATGCTTCATCGTGTAAATATCGTGTGGTAGGACAAATGTAGATTTTTTTATAAATCATTATAATATTATGACTGTATAATGGTATGGCTATAATGCTAATTAATATAACAAGAAATGTTTGAGTTATCATTAAAATCAAGTATGTAGTTAATTTAAATAAATAAGAAATAATATGGGTTCTAGAGCAGTTCCTTATGGTAAATTATATTTATTTACCCCTAAAATAAATTGTTATAGGTAATCAAGTTTTTTTCATTAAAATATCATTATGAATAGAATCAAAAGCTTTTTATAAATTTAGAAAGATGTCCATCGCCTTATCGACATTGTTGAAGAGGAGGGAGGCTTAGGGCAACACGTTAATAAAAGACTATTCTACTATTTATTAAGTGTACCTATACATACAGAATTATAAGAATAAGATTATAATATATGTGTTATGTATTATATTATCTATTATTTATTTACTTATATAGTTCATATATAGTACATATTGCTATAATTTGTCCCGTTACATTAATCATAAATTATAATGTATTAATTAATATTCAAATCGCATCAACATACACCTATTTAGTGTACACGATCACAATACAAACCAATTTTAATTACGGTTTGTAACAATATAAAAAACATGCGATCATTCGAAGATTCTCGTCTATCGCCTACAGCCACCAATTTTTGACGAATACACTATATTGTCATCGCGGAAACCCTCAGGCCGTAGTCACACCTATTTTAATATAGTTATTATTATGTCAGAATAATGTACAACCAACAACGCTTTAAATGGAAACAACCAATACCTAAGTTATGGTAGTGTTTGTTTTGTAGGTTTTTTTACCTCGCAAGTACAAACGTGGGCGTTAAACTGGTTTATCGACGACAGGCTCTCTATAAAGATACGGGTGAATACTTTCCGCAAAAAACCTACAAAGCGCACAACGGACTTCTTTTCAATGACATTTTATTATTGTGTATTGTCAGTGCTATACATAAAATGTATAATCAAACATCAAATTTCTGTAAATTCATGAACTAACAGCAACTTTTTTTTTAACAAATAACGTTTTTATATTAAGATTTTATTCAAAGTACTTTCAAGAGTAAGTTTCGGAACAGAGATATGTGATATTCAAAAAAGTAAAATCAAATTAAAATATTGGTAATCTACCTATATTTATATATATAGTAAAACCAAATACCATACAAATTTATCTTCTCCGAAGTACCATACGATGGTAGAGTGGAGCAAAACCCTAGACACTCTAAATACGTGCTTAAGTGCCTACAAAGAAGTCTATTATAATGCAATTATATTAATATTCATGCTCTCCCCCCCCCCAAAAAAAAAAAAAAATTAATAAATAAATAAATAACCAATGGTGATATTTTTTCGGTGCATCATATCCTGCAATACATTTGCTCCGTAGACACGTCAGACGAGTTAAAGTCGTAGAAAACAAATTAGTATTCACAATATTCACGAAGTTACAAAATAATATTATTTATACCACAGCGGCGCAGCAGAGTATACTTATTATTTACAGCTATACTTATGATAATAAACTGATAACACATTAACATCACGTACAGAAACAGTAAAATTCATTACATATGCCGCCAAAGTATATATAAAAAAAAAATTTGTAGAGAATGTGACGAATATTTTAAGTAGATACCTAAATTTAAGTATAACATGTTTGTCAGATAGATCAGAGGTTTGATAAATAAAAAAATATATTTACAAGATTTCAAAGGTATAGTAATAATATCAATCTCACATATTATTACTTACCAATCATATTAAAGGTACTTATCTTCGACTTGTGAATTTATATATGCTTGTTTTCTATATAAATAGGAATAATTTATTTTATTTAAATTAATGAGTTCAATATATAATTGAGTACACATATTTCTGAAAAAATAACACATTTACATGTATAACATAATATATACTATATATATATGTATATTGTGTATTATGAAATATTAAGGAACACCATTTTAGGTCGTTTACAACAGTACAATCTGTTACCGAATCCCACACACGACACACAACATGGTCGTTTACATTTATGTATACTTATCGCATAAACAATCAAACATTTGGTAGATACTTTTCAGTCTTCTGTGGGCGGTGCAGATTAAGTTTCGTTGTGAGAGCAGGATAACTAAGATTTTCTTTTTACAAATTTATTTTACGATAGAAACCCCAATGATAAAGTCATAATTAAGTTTGATAGATGCTTATTTAGATACATATTTGGACAGAACCCACGTAGTTGCGTATACGATAAAACTTTTTTTCTTGGGAACACGATTATGTATAAATACGTTGTTCAACATAGTCAAATTAATTTATATAATTTTCAAAATAAAATAATAATATGTTTTTTTTTTGGCTTCAAAAATAAATGGAGTGATACATTTAAAGGTGAAATTAACTCAATAATAATTAATCAGTATGATTTATTATGATACAATTAAAAATTATTTTTTATCTAGAATACTTAAAAGGAAGTCGCACTCGCATATGTTGTCTCCATCTTACATACATACATACAACATGGCAAATTTTTATTCACCAGTTTCAATAGTGTGCTTTTATAGTTTTGATATTAGAGTGAATTAGTCTATTATCAAACTTTTAGGTACCTAAGAATGTTATTTGTGTTCTCTCGTTGGTTTTTTACGATATTTTAATTTTTAAGTTAATTATGACTTTATGAGCATTTTTAAATATTTATATTTTTCATATTTATAACTCACTTAAAAATTAAAAATATCGTAAAAAACCAATAAAAGAACACAGATAATGTTCTTACCTAAAAGTTTGATAATAGATCAATTCACTTCAACATCAAAACTAAAAGTACACATTGAAACTGGTGAACTCAAATTTGCCATATCGTACGTGTGTAAGAGTGTAAGACGGAGACAACACATACGGGTGCTATGTCCTCTTGATTAAAAAATTGAAAATAGTTACCGAAGTATTGTGTCACTGAATCAACTTGGATCTCAATTAATATTATTATCAATCACGACTTCACTAGTACAATAGCACATTAGCACTATAAAATGGCTGTTACATTTTATTATTTAATTTTTATTAGCAGTCAGTGTACTGTGTACTCAGTATTTATTATGGTTACTTAAATACCTATATTTTAAAATCATTTATATTATTGATTAAATAATAACTACATTTTGTCTTTCGCCAAACTTTTTGATTTATTGTAAAATAATAATCTATTTTAGAACGTTGATCTAATTTTGTTTCACATATTTTACGAAATAATCTACTAGAAAAATCCTAACTACAATCTGGTCATGATAATTATACAGACGACATTACTTGATTACTGTCATATTCACAACATCTGCAATACTGAATTGGGCGTGTATATCTATTGCACACACACACACATATAACAAACAGATACACTACAAGTTAGTCTATAATATACACAATATATGCAGGTTAACCTATTAAGTATAGGTCCGATACAGTATACACCACCTACCTATTAGATACAGAGTGATCATCAAGCATGCTCATATACTCTTTTTATGCTTTTTGATAATACATTTATTTAGATTCCTAGTTTTATGATTTGTAATTACCTACATAATAGATTTTCATATACAAACATATAATTTCATACTGTTTATAAGGGAAGTATTCTCTGACAAAACAAACTTCTTTTTTTCAAATCAGTTTA